TCTCTGTCAGGCAGCCTTTTCATGGCTTAACAAAAGAAATCGGTGCCATCTAGATCATGTGGGACCTGGTGGCACCATTTAATGTATTTTGCCTCTGTTGCTGAAAATCAAAATATTTGCTATACCGACTCATTTTAGAGGCTTTAACTTATATTATAATATTATATTCAGTGGTGTGTCTACATTTTTGCATGAAGTGACAGCATTTTCTTGTCTGCTTCCCAGATATTGTAAATGAGCTGTTCTGTCTCAAACTGAGGCCAAAACAGATGCACAGAGTAAAGGCAGTGAGTCAGTCGTGTCATTAGTCATCAGGCAATAATCTCAGCACAGTGTGATATATACTGGTCAACCACCGTCCTCCACCCCCACACTGCCTTTCCTACTTTTCCTCATTAAGCAGAGAAAAGATAAATGCTTAAAAAACAGCAAAACCTAAGAAACATTTAGTGAAACAGTCAGACAGTATTCGAAGCACAGTAGCAGAAGGTTTTTGTTCAGGCACTCGTTAAATTCCTGTTTGTTTTTTTTACCCAGTTTCGACTCGCTCACTCGTTGAATAGCGGTTACAGGGTTTGTTGAAATAGCCCATTTAAAAAGCATCGAGTATCCTCACATTCTTTGAAATCACCTCTGAAACAGAATTCAGTTTTAGCAAAGAAAATCACTTCCTGAACTTTATCTTTCAACTGTTTATGCTGAATGATCCAAATAGGTGCCAAAAACAGTAGTACGGTATCTGCTATTCACTAAGGGTATCTGTTGTGCCTTTGTTCAAACATACAGGAGCAGTCTGACACTTGAATCAGTCATTAAACAGCCCATGGCTCATGCTTTTCCTTTTTTTATGACTTATCTACAATGTTACAATGGTGAATTCTCATCTTAGATGTGACCTAAAGCTCCAAAATGAGGTGAACGTATGTTCTAGTATTTCTGTGCAGAAGCAACTCGGTTTATACACATCTGGCAAACTCACACTCATGAGTCTTTTTTTTTGTAAACGGTTGTGTTCTGAAGTGAGATTTGAACTGTAGTGGTACTGAGTTCTGTAGTGTTGCTGCAGAGCAGCTGAAGGCTCGGACACCCAAAGCAGGGCCCAGGTGAGGAGCAGCGTAAGGAACGAGATGATGTGGTCGCTGGACTTGGTGTGGGTAGAGCTCTATGTGAAGCCAGTGGAGAGGTTTAGTGGGAATGCAATAATCCGAGGTGTATAAGAACCTGAGTACTGTGATATGAGAAGGTAGGTAGGTAGTCTGGATATATAGCTTTAATGGAACTAGGCAGTGGGTGGGGCACTGTTGATGTGAGGTCTAAACAAAAGTAGACTGTCCAGCACAACACCAAGGCTTTTATTTGACAGGAAATGGGACGGTCGGTAGAGGTCTTCAGACTTGGTCTGAAAGTGTCTGGTGTTGGCTATACTGACATTTAAAATGAGTGAAGACAGAGAAAGTTAGGACCCTGACATCTTCTTTTTGAACACGGGCATAAAAATGACACCTGTGCCACTGTCTCCTTTTCAATGACACACACCTGATCTTTCCTAGTTTGTAAAATACAGTGGAAAACCAAAGCAGCTACACGTTCAGGTTGAGAGAAGCTCCGGGTTAGTTCCTGCAGTGGAAAAGTAGCTTTTGTGAATTCTGTTTCAGGGTGGATTCAACATGGAGATTCATGGAGTTGGACAGTGTTATGTCGACTGTGATGAAGTTGAGTGAAAACGTTAACATCAAATGGCGACTTTTCAAGTTGAGATTTTAAGATGCATGTTAAAGGGTTTTGTGATCCCCAGTGTTTCCACAGACCATGAAGGAACATGGGATCATTCAGCTAAACGATGTAAACATAGACACAGGCAGTTTCCCCGGTAATAACACAGTGTCCTGACAGATTGTTGAAGTGCACATGACAACCCCTGGACAAAAAAAACAAACATCTCAGCTAAAGGCAACAGTCATCTCCATTTAACAGTGTCTCGGATCCCAGAGCCAATTAAAAGGTGTGAGTTCAGCTGGGGAGGCATCGGCCCCGCGAACCACCTCCTAAATGAATCCTACTCACAGATAATCACATAACCAACAATTAACTCCATTTCCCATTTAATACCCCACCCACCTTCCCACAGTGCAACAACACACACACACATTGGACATTACACACCAGCCTCATTACACAGACAGACGCTGATTCCCAGCAGGCACGACGACGCACGTGTGAAATATGTGTTCGCTTATCACAAGCTTTGTTAAGTTCACAACAGCAATGCTTACACCTCTTTTTTCATTTTCGTCTTCCGAGTAGGGGACACTTAGTGTTTATACACAAACACCAAACATCGAAAGCGACATCACTAATCAGGGATGTGCGAAGTAGAAAAACCAGCTGGATGAAGCGGACGGTAGCGATGTTTGTCTCCCTGTACTGGGTGATGGAGAGAGTTTCATTTAAACATCTGTTCATTAAGTCTTGTTTTGGAACTGAACCCTGATGTTAAGGTAAAGCACATTATGAGTTCCTGATAAAATTACAAATGCGTTTAAGAGGTTTTCTTACAAGACACAAGTGTTTTAAAAAAATCCAGAATATTTCTGATATGAAACCATTGAACTTCAGAGCGTGATGAAGTCAGCCAGCCAGACTCGGCTCCATCAGATGAGGCTCACATTGACCCACACTGCTTCTCACTGTTAAACCTAAAACCAGCTGGAAGGTGAACATTGCTTTCAGGTAGAAATGGCACATTATTATCAAACTGCACTCATAACCCCAGCCTGCAGATGATCAGCCGCTGATTTGGGATCAGCTACAGCCTGTTGGCACTGTGTGGTTGGCACTGAGGAGGATGTCCCTGCTGATCTTTGATCAGACTGAGCTGTAACGGCACTGAGTGACAGGAAAACAAAAAAGGTACTGCTCACGTATTCTTCAGCCAACGTCTATGCCCCAGTAAATAATTTAGATTTTAATATTAGAGCACCAGGTGGAAGGCAGGAAGCCCAGTAAGCACTGACTTGGTGATGTGAAGGTTCAACATTGGGCTAAATAGCTCCTTATTTGAAAAGTCTGACAAATGTGTTTATTTCAGTTATTTTAAGCCAGGTTCAAACTTCATACTGTAGTTTTGTTGAGTTTATTAGCAGTAAAAGTTCTTAAAAGAAACCTTTTTCCCGCACTAAAGTATTACTTGAACTTTTGTATGTTTGCACATCTGACATTTTTTCCTGCTCCAGTTACTTGTGCTGACTAAAACATTGTCTGGATTACACAAAACGTATTTTAACTATGTATCCTAAACTGCTAAATATATAACTTTGTTTTGAGGGACTGTACGTGTCATCTGTAAAGGTAACACTTAAGTTCACAGGTCCTTGTGTTTTCCAGCTAATTTTCCCCACAATTTCCTAAAAGTCAGCTGCATTTAGTTGCTAATTACTAGAATATCTCCAAGAAAGGTCTACACAGCTTGGTGTTAATTATTAAATGGAGAAAGTGCTAGTTGTTACAGTTATTAAAACTCCACAGAGGAGACTGTTTTTTACCACTGTGTGTTGGTTTGTTCACAGCATTACTCAAAAAGTCACAATTGATGTCACAATGGATTTTGATGAAATGTTACAGAGAGGTAGGGTAAAACCTGCAAAAACTTTATTATGGCTTTATGGGGCTGCCTTGGAGGTTTAGGTGTAGATATATTAAATAAAATTATTATATATAAAAAAAGAAAATGATTTAGTTGCCAAGTGAAAGTGGATCATAAATGTAAATATCCATCAGTTTCCTGGAAAGACTAACCAAAACTCTGGACTGCACAGAGAATGACTGACAGGTCCAGCTTGTGGAGACGAGTTAGAAATGTGAACCTGTTGAGTTGGTGAGATTTTATACCATGGAGTGTGTTTTATCTGCTGATCGCATTAGTTTGCAACACAAAACTAAGGTATTTCCAAAGCAGCAGAAAACTACAGGTAAGCGTTAAATTCAACCAATATGCAGCACAATTTTCAATTAAATGTGAACTTACAGAAGACCACGGACATCTGCTGAATTTGTGTTAGTGGTTTTAGAAGATGTAGATGCATTGGCGTCAATAAATGAATTATTTTTGACTTCCCTGCTATAAATTCCTAGTTTGTCTAAAAAACTATAATGTAATGAGCAGGCTTTTAATAACTGTATCAACAAATACTTTCTCCCGTATAAACTACAGTATAATTAAGAAATTAGGAGATGAGTTTCCAGGATTGAGCTGGAGGTAAAAGGAGCCTGTAAAGTAAAGCGTGACCTCGACAGCACATGGAGCCCTTTGTCCTTAGAGCCTCAGTTTGAATATGGAAAACTGGAGTTAATTGGAATTATTCACTTGAAGCTGTACAACAGTGTGTCCATGCTCCTGTTAATGGCAAAGCTCTTTCTGGCAAGCTGCCTCGGAAATTAAGACTTTTTTAGGCAAAGCTGAGTAAATGGCTGACCTGTAAAATTAAGTGTGGCCCACAGTTTTCAAACACCTTAGTAACATCTAACCCTTGTTTTAACAGTCTTTAAATATTGACTGTGAAAAAGGTCCCAACTACTTCTAAAACTGGTTCCATTTTGGATCTGATTTTAAGTTGGCAAATTTCCTGGATTTTCTAAAGCCTGACGCTAATGAATCTCTTATCAGATCCTTGGCCATTTTTATTAGCAAGAGCAATGTGTAAATAATTTAGTTAACAGGAGCAAGCTTCTCATTTGTAGCCACTGCTGACTAACACTTGAACAAACATCACTGATGGCACATTCTATCATCCATCCATTATCCTGAATAGGGTCGCGGGGGGCTGGAGCCAATCCCATCTGACACTGGGTGAGAGGTGGGGTCCACCCTGGACAGGTCGCCAGTAAAACCAACAACCACACTCACAATTTAGACCAGTCAACCTAAGCTGCATGTCTTTGGACTGTGGGAGGAAGCCAGAGAGAACCAACACAGGCAGAGGGAGAACATGTAAACTCTGCACAGGGTCGGCCAGGGCTCAAACCTGGAACCTTCTTGCTGTAAGAGAACAGCGCTAACCACCGCACTGCTGTGATTCTATCAACTGAAGCTAAATCCACTGAATCCATAATGAGTCAAACTGAACTCCAGGTTGTTAATGTTCGTCCTCCGATCCAATGTCTGCACTCAGAGATTTGCAGACTCTCAACCATCACTCTATTTGCAAGTAGACTGTGTTTTTGTGGTCCCATATGACCAGCACAGCGCTGTCTTCTCTACTGAAATGATCACACACAACTTATCTTTTAACTTTTACCCATCAGCAGCATCAATAGTTTAACCTTCATGACTCAACTGTTTTGAACTGGGGCCACCAGAAGTTGCAGCTTGTTAATGACAAAGTGTGCAAAGTAAATTACAAGTCTTATTTCTTCTAAAGTGTCAGACATTTAATCAACATTTTCTATTTCCTGCAGCTCATCTCACTGTCAGCTTGTAGCTACAGGTTGTACACATTAATTAGGCTGCCACTAAAACTGTCTTCCCTCTCAGGCTAAAAAGTCAATTACAAATGTAAATTGATTCCTTGAGTTTTAGTTATTTATAACTTTAATTACTTGCAAGTGTTGATGCTGAACCTACTTAGAATCAGTAAGTAATTCAGTCAGGGAGTTGAAAGGATTCGGATTTGATACCAATTATATTAAATGCTATTGAAACACAGTTCTACCTAGATTTCTTTAAAACAAATAAATTTACTGTAACTTAAACCTACTTTCTACCTGTTCATCGAATCAGTGTTTACTGGAAACGTCCATATGCATTTTGGAATCCAGAGTTTTGTCAGATTATCTGACCCTGAAGCAGATTTAGCACCAGTGTGTTAATTGAACAGTAAATCTGTGTTTGGCTCAGCTGATCCTGAATCAGTGGTTTCCAACTGGATGGAAACAAGAGAATTATGTCACACACCGTTGGAGCCGTTGACTTCTGCTCCAGAGACTAAGGCAAAATTATAAAAATAAAATGAGAAATCAAGGAAAATCAACAGAAAAGGACAAAATGTTGTCCTTGACCAACAGCAGCCAGAGAAACAGGATGAAAAGGAAACACAACCAGCTGCTCAAACCAATAGGATGATCCTGGTTCTGTGGCATTGTGGGTGATGTAGTCCGAGTCACATGGCCAGAGCTCGGGCCTTAACGGCGGCTGCCTGTGCCCTCTGCACGGCTCCTTGGCTGCTCTCTCTCCTCATCAGCTGGTTGGTCTCGAACAGGCCCTCGTGGCTGCCTCCGCCGCCGCCTGGACCGCTGTCCGCAAACGTCAGCAGTCCTGCATCAAAACAAAAGGTTACACAGTTTGCACCTTTAAAGGTAAACATGACCAGACTAAAGCTGCATTCTTAATAAAAGGTTGTAGAGTTGTTCTAGAAGCAAATGATGTGTTCAGATTTCCCTCTCTTTGGAAACAGTCTCTCAGCTACAGAACCTCTGTTTATCTCAGGGAGGCTTTGACTCGACGTGTTAACCCTTCTTGGTGCTGGTTTCATCTGCTTGGAACAGCACTGGGCAGCACTTTTTTATCAGAAAGATAAAAATATCACCCAACTGCAAAAACCTGTTGCTGTGCAAACTCTGTCTGTTCTTGGTTTTCTATACAGGAGAAATCCCAGTAATGTTTGGGCTGAAGCAACAAACCAGGACAATAAGTTTAATATGTTGATGCCCTGATTTGAAACTAAAGGTGTTATCAGCTCAGCAGAAGCTTGTGTTCATCACCGTCGTCTCCTGTCCACTTGTTTCCTTTATACAGCAGCTTAGGGTTTACTGTCACCTGAACTCGGGTTAATGTTTAACTGAAAACTGCATAAAAAGCCACTTAGGGATGAAGTCCTCTGTTTAAACCCAGCCCTCGGCCTGGCTCTGGGTTCACGCTGTTGGAGCTTAGCGAACTGAAGGAATCTTTATTTCCCGTCTCTATTTTTACAAGCACAAAAATGAGCCAGTTGTAAAGGTGACACATTGATCCACCCTCGCCACCCAGCAGGCTTCAAATAAAAACGTGTTGATTACCTCCACAGACTCGGGGATTTCAGAGCAGACAATTAACACGTTTCGCTGTTTAATATAATTAAAAAGTGTTTAAAACATTTGGTAACAGAACAAAGGGCACAGAGGGATAAACACAGTGCTGTGACAACGTGAGACTTTCTCAAGATGTATGTTTAAAAAATTGCCTTAATATGTGTTGTGACACAAAGTTTAACACAATTATAATACAGTAAAAAAAACACAAGCTGCTCAAGTTGCAAAACTCAGATACTAAACTAAACCTCAGGAAACGTGATTTTTCTGATGCATCATCCTTCTTTTAGAAGCCTGACAGGACGACAGTTAAGGATGATCGATGTCATTTTTAAAATAACAGAACATTTAGTCCAAAATGCACGTGAACTGTCAGAGATACAGTATATATATATTATTATCTTCAGAGCGGTGATGTCTGAGGTATCACCTGTATCACCGCATTAACGTTACTATCAAATATTTTGGTTTCTTTGTGCTTTTCTGAAGAAAATGATAAAGATGTAAAATGTGAAATCTTACCGTAACCGTCCACACACCCACTTTTAAACTCGCCCTCGAAGCTCATCCCGTCGTAGCGAGTGAAGACGCCGGCACCATGAAACTTCCCCTGCACAAATTCACCTTCATATCTAAAAACATTTGCAAATACACACATGAGTATATAAAGAAGCACTGAGCTGACAGGACAGTGAGGAGGAAAGCTTTTTATATTTGACTGAGGTTTGACTTTGACAGTATTGACCTTGAATGTTTGAAATTTTAGGTGTTGAAATGACAAATCAACAATTTGTTACCTGAGACAAGAACACAGTAAAATATCAACGCTTTCTTTAAACGGACATAATTTTAACCTTAGAAAGGAAACAGAAAAATGGTATCCGCAGTTATCAGGTCTGTTGTTGATAAAATCTATTTCTTGTTAGTTTTTAGTTTATTAAAACAAACACAAATGTCTCTGCACAATGTAATTTAGAAATGTAAATCAGAGTTGATAGAAACAGTGAAGGGATGATCCAACATACAGTAAAGACAGTATCACAACACAGGCACCGTAGCTGCAGAATGTTCACATTAACACTCAGATCTGATGGTTGTGTGCTGCTACTTTCCGTCCGTGTGTGTCAGGGCCATGTACCCAGCTCCTAAACTGCCACAGGTGCACAGATGTAACTGAAATGTGAGCCACATGCACACAAGAATAACAACCGGGTCGTGTGTGTGACGGTCAAATGACCCAGTTTCCTCCCAAACCGCTGGTTTACGACATGTTCCTCCCAGTTTGTCCTGATCAAAAGCTTCTCCATAAACGTCCTGGTCTCTCCACTGACCCCGCTGCTGTCGTCACTCTCCTCCATGTTTACTGTTACCGGTCTGTGAGGGGCCGACGCCGAATGATGACGACAGGCCGTATGTGCAGAGGAGGAGACGATAAAACCACCACACGGATTCTGATCTGACCGTTCTGATGGCGCTCACACAGTCAGAGGTCAGAGAGGAATCAGGTCTAGGAGCACATACACAGGTGGCCCAGATCTGGTCTGAGGACATCTGGTCTGTTCACACTGCTGTGGACACACCAGGTCTGGGTCACTGGGAGGGGAAACTGGCATTCGAGCCACTTTGGCAGGTTACGTGAACAAAGTTCTTGTGATGCAGTGAAACAGACTCATCTCTGATAAGTGTGTGCAACCAAACAGGATAATCTTCCCTTAAAAGAGTAAACGTGTTGCGTTTCCTCACAACATTGTTACGAGCTTCCAGCTTCACAAAATTCAGCAACATTTCCAGAACCTCATTTCAAGTTGACAGGCAGTCATGTGTTACTAAAAAGATTTATTTAAAAAACAGTTTTTGTTTTTCTAAAGTCCCTGAAAAGTTGATCCGCTGGTCTTTCTGAATACGAGCACGACAGATGGCACTGAACAGGCCGGAGTTCTTAAATATCCTCATCTGCACTTGAACTTTTTTGCTTCCACTAAACCAAGAAGAGCAGATGAAAAACTGTAAAGTAATGAAAGGTGACCTGGCGAAGAAAGCATTTTCTGTGTCTGTGTCACAGAAGCACAACCTCTAATGGACGTTTTGTCAGATAAAAATGAAAAGCAGCTCTGCACTGACTCTCTGCCAGTGTTTCAGCAAGAACGACAGACTTCAATCTGATGTACAAAATGTTCAGACGGTGGAAGAATTCAAACATTTCAGAAACTAGAAAGGATTTTTAAACTGCACGCTATCTGCACATCTGTATGTGGCGCCTGTCAAACAAACTGTAGGACAAAGGGTGAGAGAATTCATTTTACACTTTTCCTTCACTCTTTATTTCGGTCTTGTCAGAGTCTGGGAACTAAATGTTCACATTCTGCACTGACTTGTTCACTGTATCTAAGGATAAACACAGACCGGGGCTACCTGAACCTCCTTCCTGTCTGGGACGTCATTAATCACTGTTCCATAATATGCATTAGTGATTAAACTGCATAACTGACAATGATTTAACAACTTTAATAATCATAAAACAAAAATATTCTCTGGCTCCGCTGTGAAGATCTGGGACGCTGGGATGTCATTTTACAAACTGAGCGGCCGATTGATTAATCATTATAAATAATCTTTAGATGTAACTCAGCACTACAGCTATATGAAGACAGCAACTGAAACATTTAGTTAATTAATCGTTTTGTTATTCAACAACAACAAAAAAGATTTTGTTCAATGATGAATAGTTTTTCAAGCTAAAAGAGTTTAAAAAAAAGCCAATTTCTGATTCAGAATCAATATTTTTTACTCATCATACATCACTGTAAACACAATATCTCTGGGTTCTGGACCTTTAATCAAACAATATAATTTTTTTTGACAAAATTATAAATTAAG